GGGGGGGGGGGGGGGGGGGGGGGGGGGGCGTTGGACAAGCTTCCGATCCCCCCTCGGGGAGGGGGCAGGGAATAGAGAAAGCAGCGTGTGCGCTGGGTGGGAGGTTGGCTGGAGCCACACACACATGCGTCACCCGAAGTAGGGGCGTGCGACGTGGTCGTTGCGCTGCGTTGTCCCTGTCCCTCTCAAGGGAGTTCGATGAAAAGTAATAAATCCCCGCCCCACGCTTTGTTTGTCTGCGGATCCTTGTTTTTCACACACTCACACACACACACATACGTACGCGTCACCCCTTGGCATGCGTCGAAGGAGGAAAGGAAGCGCGGTTGGTTCTTGTGCCTCTGCTGGGCGAGTCGCTCGTGGCAGTGGTGTTAGAGCCTGGGGCGCGCGGGGGGGGGAGGTCAAAAGTGCCCGCCGGAATATGGGGCACACCGCTGCCGCTGCTCTGCTAGTTTGCTGGTTCTACCTAGTTGTTGTCTTAGAGAAGAGAGCCTTCGGATCGACCTGTTTGGATACATGGATACAGGGAGCTGGTTTTTCGTCTGTTTTCTCGTCCGATTTTTTTCTTTTTTTTGTGTGCTCGTATTGTTTTCTCATTTTTGTGTTATTTCTTTGTCTCTCTCTTGTTCCTCCCCACACACTTGCGTGCTTGATTGGTTCACTTGATAAAGATGTGGAGCTTGTTTCGCGGTCTTGTTCTGTCGTATTTATCATGTCTTTGCGGTCGTCAGTTCAGTCTGTTTTGGTGCGAAAAATCACCAGCGACAAAACCGCCCTGCTGTCGACAGTCTGTCTGTCACTGAAAAGGGGTTCGTCTATTTGACTCCCCGGTTGTTACTTGTTTCATATATAATATATAAAAATGCGCCTCTGTCGTGCCTACGTGGCCATTACGTCGTGCTGTTGACGTGCGTGTTCGGGTGTGATAGAGTTATTGCCAATTGCAAAGTTTTTAGCGGCCGGCCGGCGGGGCTTTTTTTCTTCTTCCTTCTTTTTTCTCCAGGGCCTTGTTCCAAGAAGAATCGG